CAAAAATAGGTAACAATAGAAAATCTTGTAATATAGTACGTAATTGAGGACTAATTAAGAAGGTTGAAATTGAGATACAGATTGTGTTACGGCCGCACCCCAAAAGGTGGCATGAGATACGAACACAATGGTGGCAGTCAATATGTACTAATTAGAAGGAAATTACAGAAAATAATTACATGGTAGGACGTGTAATGGTAGATTGCTCTAACCGACCCTAGCTTGAAGTTGGCTTAAAATAGTTAATAGAAAAGTAATATAGGGAAATTAAGGAGTATAATGCTACATTGGGTGACTAGTAATAGTAGCACAAATGTAATTAGAAACTGTATATATAATTATTCTGTAAGGCGTTTATCATAACTAATAAAGTTTCTATGTTGGCAATATAAAAAAAAAAAAATAGTTAAATATATATCTAGAGCCAACACTATATATAGTCGACTTCTTCTAAGTGCAGGTTTTCTTTATCTGCAGAAAAATAGCCTGGTCTCAAGTTAGGACTTATAAAATAAGTGCATATTCTATATTCTTTAAGTGCAGGTTATTTTTTAAATTATATATAAAAAACACTTTTACTAAAACACACCTATAGTGTTTTTACACTATAGATTCTGTTTCTTAAAAACATACTAAATAAACAGAATTGGGTTCTCTAAGTAAAAATGTTCAGGACTCCCAAAAACCTTACAAGAACTAAGATCAGGCCCTTATATTAGCACTATAATATATTATATAAAAAAAAAAAAATTCTTAATTTCCTAACCCTAACCTTAAATTTTATTAAAAGAAATTATACATAAGTACTAAAACACCATAGATGCATTTTATAATAATTGTATAAAAAATATCTTATCCAAATTGGTTCAATGGATCAAAAGTTATTAATTTTTAAAGATTTTATAATTTTTTATAAATAAAATTTTTAACAATTTTAATTTTTCTCTAATTGCAAGTTTTTTCTAAATGCAAGTCAAAGTACTGGTCCCAGCAATATGCACTTAGAGGGAGTTGACTATATATATATTTGTTTGCAAAATTTTGGTTTTATTTGCAAATAACTTTGAAGATACAATTTAAAATCAATTCAAAACCAATTTTGCAAATTTACTAATATGACTTTTTTTTAATAAATAATATTATATCTATTATTATTTTTTTTAATAAATAATATTATATCTATTATTATTATTATTTAAGTAATCTTGCTTTTATTAATATAAACTGCTATGTGAATATACTGTAACAGAGTATATATGTTTTTTATATAGTGAATAGTTCTAGTTTAATAAAAACTCACCAGATATATCTAAATACTATCTAATATGACCTGCTATAATAACTATTAGTCTTACTCAGGATTCAAAACTTGTTTCAGATTTTGTATTAACAAAGAATACTCTTCTTGATTATTTGACAGGTTGTTGTATACTGCATTAGGATTTCTTTTTTTCCTTTTAATTTTTCTTTCTTCTCAAAAGACACAAGACAAAAGGGTAAAATTTTTAAAAGAAAATTTACAAAAATGACCAGAAAAAAAAAAACAGAAAGAAAAAAGAAACACTAATTGCAAAAAAGAAAAACATAAAAAGAAATTTAAAACTCTAAAGGCACTATTATAATCCATATATGGCTGATAAAAATTATATAACAAATGCAATATTTGTATATCTCTACTGTAAAGCTTTGTCTTAATATTAAATTTACTTTCCAATCTTTCTACCATCTTTGGATTACTTTATTGTCTGTTCTAATTCATATTTTGAGCCAGATACTGCTGTTATTCAAGAACCTGTGTCTTAAGCCACCTGCTACCGTAACTAGAGTTTTTAGACCATATTTGTCTATAAACAAACACATAGTTGCATTCTGCTAATTCGCCCAAATTTGGGAAGTAAACAATGCCAATCTTTTGGAAGAGGTAAACCAAATCTCTACTTTTTATCAAAATTTTTTGAAAGACCAATGATTATTATTTTTTTTATTTTTTGTTTTTAATTTTTTTTTTAATTAATATTGTTGTATTTTTATTTATCTTATTTTAATTAAATAGTTAATAATAATAATCATCATATTATATAAAAAAATCCATATATTGTTGAATCAAATAATAAAATTTTTAATAATTTTTTTTACAGTATGTTATTTTTGAAATTACTATTCTTGGTACTATTGTATTATTTTTAATATAATATATCACTTTTAAAATTATTATTATATTTGGTATATTGCTTTAAAAACATCATTGTTAGTTTGGCATATTGTTTTATCATCTTGTAAATGCTTGATTTTCTAGAATTCAAAATAAACATGTAATTTTTCTAATTTTAGCCAGAGTTACTAAAGCTTAATTTTAGCCAAAATTAAACCAAATCAAAATTTTTATTTAAACCAATTAAAATTTGCCTTAAATCAAATAATATTTACATGTTTTTGTTTACAGATTTACTTGTTAAATAATTTAGATCATGTTTTTTAATAAGTTTATTTACTAATATATTTATTATATATTTTTTTGTATTAAAGTAATCTCTTTGGCCTGAGGACTTTTTATTAAAGTATAGACAACATTTTATAATATAATTACAACAAAAGTATATCAAGCCATATGTTCACTTTTAGTGCCTAATTTAAGTAGTCTACTTAAAGTATTAACTATGCTAAGAGTTCTACACTATTTGCTATACCTGTACTCAACTATAAGGATATCTATTTAAACTCTTTGGTTCTAACTACCATCATCATTACTAATATATTTAAAGAATTGCTTTTTAAATATTTTAGTAATAAGTTTGTAAAAAATTGTTATTTAGCAAAAAATATAATTGCAATATATAATTAAAATATTGTAGTATTTTTTTGATACCTATATCTTCAATTTGTATAAGGATTTAATTATTCATTGAGGGTTAAAATTACCCAACTATACTACAAACTATAACAAAATATAAAAATACATAAAATAACATAAGTATAATACTGGTAATTTACTACTTGGATAGTACAGGCTAGCCATTACTATGAGCATATGATATTGATGTTTTAGTAGCTAGAGTGAAAGAGTTCTTTAGAAAGAAAAGATAGGTTAGTTGTGCTATAAAAATATCGTAATCTCATAATTGCAACCTTTTTTGACCTGAAAGTTTAAATTATATATAGTTCATGTTATCTATAATCATCAAACAAATTTATGCAACTTCAAACAATAACTAGTTTTTCTATTAAAATAAATTAAAAAATAAATTATAAAAATAATAAATTTAATGTTTCTCTATCAGATTTATGGTTTAGTTTTTTTGATAGCTTTTTATTTTTACGAAGTATTAAAGTTTAATATTGGATATTTTTATTAATAATCTTTAAATTTCGGACATTGATTATTTTATTTTATCCAATTAGTGAGCAAAAAAATCATATGACCCAATAAGTACAAAACACAAAATAATAGATTATACATAATACAATAAATTTTATTAACATTTATTTAGCATATATTTTAAGACATGAGATAACTATACAGAACAAACGTTATATAATTAATTTGTACAAAAAAAAATTTTTAAAAAAAGTGTCAATTGGTGCTGAAACAGCATCATAGTAGGCACACTCTAGTATCCCAATTGATATAAACATAAAAAATAAATAAATAAATAAAAATGGTAAATTCAAATAAATATTTGTTAATACACTTATCGTAAATAATCAAAGCATTATTCTTATATAATCTTGTGATTGGAATATAACAACCCAGAGACACTAGCCTAAAAAGTAAAGTAATTAAGGTAATTAAGAAGCATAGTTGAGAATAAGATAAAACTAAAAATAGCAAACCTCAAATAAAGTAATAATAATATAATAGTGAAATAGGTGGGTTTTAAATAAGGCTGTGTTAAAGTGTGTAAAAATAAAAAATAAATGGAACTAAATTTATAAAAAAATAGTTAGAAAAAAATTGAATTCATAACACTCTTATTATTTCAATCAAAGCCTTAATTAAAATAATAAAAGGTATTCTTTTGTATAAAAAAATATATATCTAAAATGTTTATATATTTAAATTAATACATAAAACATATCTCATCATATTAATTATTAAAAAAAATAAAATAAAATTAAAAAAAATACTTTATATAAACTATAAATAAAATCTTTTTTTTGTGATTATCATAAACATAGTGACAAGTTATATATCTCTAACTTTCTATAAAAAAATGCTGCTTCTTTTCAAAGAAAAAAGAAAAGCCAAAAATCAGGCTAGAGATATTAAAGAACAGTATAATACCAAAAAAATGGAGTTAATTGATCAAGAAGACATAGTAAATGAGCTATATAATAGTGATACTGAAGATGAACTGGACATTAGTAATAAAAATGAAGGTAAGAAAAATAGTAGCTAGAATAAATATAATAAGTTAGATGTTAGTGATTTAGAATAAGGAAATGAGGATAATAGTGGATGAGATAATATAGAGAGTGAAATTAAAAAATTTAACTTGGTATAGAAAATAATAATCAATTTGAAAAAACAAAACAAGGTCTATATAAAAGACAAGACACCAAAGTCAACTTATTATAATAAGTATAGGCCAACCAGTATTTTTACTAAAGCAGCAGTTGGTACAAAAAAAATTACTAGCTTTTTTACAAGTTTACAACCATCAAACCCAAACGACTTAGAAGAAATCTCTGATAATTCAGATAGTAAATCTGACTTATATGCTCTTACAATAAATAGAAAAGCAAATGATTTAAAAAAGCAGTTAAAACAAAACTATAATAAACTAATAGTTAAAGAATACAATTATAAAAGAGCTATTTTCAACTCTCACTGATGATCTCTTATACCAAAATTTTTGGAAAGAATTCAACTCAAAAAACAAGAAACCCGATATACAATACACCTGGTGGAAAGAATAAAACTATAAGCCAGCACCTATCATTTAGAGGTAGTTTTTATACGCTACCTGCCGGTAGGCTTAGAGTTTATCACTCACTGCAGGGATGGCAACTGTTGTTTGAAAGTAGTTCTCATACGCTACTTGCTAACAGCTTTAGAGTTTATTACTTACCAAAAAGAAAAGTTCTCTCTGGGTTGAGTATATTGGGCTCTGGCTTTGGTAACTTTTACTCTTTAGTATCAAAAAAACTAAGTACGATGATAACAAGAACCCTCAAACACCACCTACTTGGTATGGCAACAAAAATTTCGGAAAAAGTGGGCAAAACAGCTTATCCCCGTCAAAGGATTGACATTGTTTATAGTTACCAAATTCAGACGATGCAGTGGAATACAATTACATATTCTGGTCAAATAAGGGAACAGTGCCACTATTTTAAACCGGACTACTTCTGAAATTCCTCGTGGGAGTTTTGAAGATGCATAATAGCGGCGGCAACCACTTTAGGGATGGGACCCAGAGCTGCAAAGGCTAGAAATTTCTGATATTATATGGTGGGATAAAATTAAGGTTAAGGCTTAGCTTTATATTAGAGATATGCAGATATTGTATCTGTTATATAATTTTTACACAAACCTGGCATGGGTTATAATAGTATGTGTCGGGATCCCCCGATCTTTTTTTTATGCTTTTTCCATCTTTGTTCATTTATGATAGAATCTTATTTAGAATATGGTCTTTGTGTATTCTATTTGGTTTATCCTTTCTTCTCCTAGATGTAGTTTTTCTTTCATAAACATGGTATATATGTTCTTAGCTTGTAGAAAAGTAGGAGATAATTATTCTGCCCGGACTTAGGTGAAAAAAGTTTTAAAGAAA